GAAAGATCAGCTACTTGGATCAACAAGAGTGGTGAAAGGAGGAAGATGATCCAAATATGTATATAGTGACCATGAGCATGCAAGCAAAACACAACCAGATATTTGCAAGTCAAGATTAAGTTCTTATAGGATAAGGAATGAGATCATATCACAACATGTTTCAACCAAGTTCAAGAATGCTCTTCATGAATTCCAAGTTTGTTTCAGACTTACTTCAAGTTCAATCATCATGCATCAAAAAGCTAACAACCAGGGCATTGATCTCAACTGGTGAATCATAGCAAATCAACAAGGTGTAACTCATCATCGCCCCCTATGCTAATGCAACAGTCCTACATGAAACAATCTAGACTCAATCCTAATATGCAAATGCAGGCTACATGAACACTCTGTTTTTAAAGATTTTTTTTCTGAAAATTTTTCAAATTTTTAGGGGTTTTCAATGCACATATATGAATGCAAATTATATGCTAAAAATTCAAAATAAGAAAAGAGAACACAACATCAAATGTCATCCCAAACCCTCCCCCAAACCTAAATTACACAGTCTCTTGTGTAATAAAAATTTGAGAGTTGGTTTGAGAATCAAACAAAGAAAAGTATGAAAATGCAATGGTATATACAGATGAAGGTTTGGAGTGGTACCTTACTGAAAATAGCAATCCAGGTATTGAGTCATGGACTCGCTTGTATAAGCACCTGGTGCAGGCTGCGCATGAGGAGCCACTGCTGGTTGCTCAACGTTCTGCTCGACAGGATCCGCAGTGAGGTCTTGGAAATGATACGCACCTGGATCAACAGTCATGTCCTCAATGTGATCCTCAGCTTGATCCATGGTCAGATCCTCAACATGATGCTCCTCTGACAAGTGTGATGAACTGGCTTTTGCCTTCCGTCTCGCTGCCTTCTTCTTTTTCCTTTTCTCCTTCTTCTTGCTAGCCCTAAGCTTAGGGGAGGACTGTCTCAGAGGAGAAGAAGAAACATTATGCTCTCTATACTCATAGGCGGAATGACGTGATGGAGAAAGAGTTCTGTAGCGTGCTGGGACATCACTCGTGGACAAACGACGCTGCACTGGTATAGCATCCTGCGGAGTAGTGTCTGCAAAAGCTGTGGTGGTGGAGGCGCAGCTAAACTTACTCATGAAGCTCTTCATCTTCGACTTCATAGATTTTATTGCCTTGTCTTGCAGCATGTTCCACTTCTGAAGTGTACTGATACGCTTGTGAGCTTCCACCAAACTCTTGCCTTGTCTAGGCGCTGTGTAGTCCTTAAAGTGGTATCTCTCTGGTCTATACTCATCTGAATCTTCTTCCATCTCATCATCCTCTTTCTCAGATACCTCCATCGCTTCCTCACCATCTGTCGTGTAGAGAGCCTCTGCAGGGGGAGTAAACTCAATGTTGCTTCCTTCGAGTATCCTAGTGAAAGCAATACAAGGAAGCAAAAATCGCACGTCACCATGTACGGGGTGAGTGAAGTAATACATATACAACCCGTTGCGTTTCTCCCAATGGAACCATTGAGCTTGCCTCAAGTTCTAAATGTCGATGAATCTCGGTGCAATAGGCTCTGAACTCAGCAGGACGCTACAAGCTTCCAAGATGACTGTCACCAACCCTCCCATACACATAACTCCTTGAGTTCTGCAGCTGCTCAGCTTCACTACCCAAGTTCTGTAACTGAGTAGCTGGTGCAACAGAGTGAACGAGGGGGATGTATCAGTCGTATCACCTCGCAGTTGTGTCCCATCTACTACTGTTAACAAGAGATCTTTAAGTGCAAGATCAATCATCTCCAGCTCCCTGTTGATCAGTGTCCCTGTTGTCTCCCTCGCGAAGAACACGTTTGCAACTGATCAATGGAAGTAGCGGATAACTGGACTTCTGATGTGGTTGCTCTTGGTCCTAGATGAAGCGAACTTCTTATCATTCGCAATCGTTTCCCAAAGAGCCAACAATTCATCCTTATCAATCCTCTGCCCAGTCCCTGTTCCATTAGGGAATCCAAACAAACCTTCCAGCTCTCTGATGGTCAGAAGATACTCATGATCATGGATGGTGAAGGTGATGTATCCCAATCCTCCATCCGACTCTATGTCCGGACATCTTCATAAAGATGTATGGCAAGCGTACAGAGGAACTGAATTGTCTCCTCTCGGTATGCATTTCGCGGACTAGTCATGAGTGTGCTGAGATGACAATGCTCGAACATATACTCGACATCACTCGAGATAGCCAGCTCATCCATCGTCTGCTGGCAAGGATACCTCGTGCCCTGAAACTCATGCTGCTGAAACAGCTTGTAATACTCTCTCGGGGCTAACCACTTCTCTGTCTTCTTCTTCTGCACTGACTTGCGAGCTGGGACAGGTGGATGCTTTTCAAGCTCATAATCACTATCATCATCCCGCAGCTCCATTGGTTTTTTAACCGAAGACTTAGCTCTGCTTCTTGCCTGAGAAGGAACAACACCAGACCCTCTCTCATATGCAGCTTTCTTGTTCTCCATGTAGACCTTGGACATAGACTGAGGAGATGCACGCTCTGTTGGTTTACAACCATACTTCTCACGCATTTCATGCAACAAATCTCTTGACATTGTGAAACTGAAACAATTGAAACTCAAAACTAGAAATTAGTTTGTTAGTGTTCCAAAAGCTAAGAAAAATGAGCAAATGCAAAAGAAATGAGTGGAGAGACAAACGCTTATCACTTTCGGTCGAGTGAGCAAATGAGTGCAAGGTCGAGTGAACCTGTTGTGAGTGTAGGTCGAGTGAGTGCACAGCGAGTGGTGGTGGATTTCAAGCTCGTCGAGTGGGCTTTGGTCTGCTGCACGTGTAGCCGGTGATGGACTCCGGTCGAGTGAGCAACACGCGCCAAGTAGAAGAAGTGACGACGGTCGAGTAAGGAGGTGGTGTGCAGCTCGAGTGAGTTGGTACACGGTCGAGTGGTTTGTCGGTGGAGCTCTTCTTGCTGTCTTAGCTCGAGTAACCGCGACCGGTGATGTGGTTCGGTCGAGTAGCTCCGGTGAAGACAAAGTGGGTCGGTTGGGAGAGCAGCTCGAGTGAGTTGAAATCCGACGAGTGGGAGAGACGCACCGGTCGAGTGAGCTGGAATCCCGATTGAGCACCGAGTAGAAATCCGGTGCGGACAAGGAGAACCGCGTGAGCAAACAGCGAGTTTGAGAGATCCTATCGAGTGAGTTGCCCCGGTCGAGTGAGGGAAACTAGACGGTGGGTCGAGTGGAGTCCGTCGAATGGTGAAGCTTCCGTCGAGTGGCGAGGAGAGACGACGGTCGAGTGAGATGATTGATGAAAGTCGGAGAGAATGAGATGTATGAAAGAAAAATGAGTTCGAGTGAGAGGTAAGAGAGAGGAAGGATTTTGTGTGGTTAAGGAGAAAGAGATAGGATAAGGGTATGAAAGAAAAGGAAGGTTGGGTCGAGTGGGGTGAATCGAGTGAGGTATTTTTATTTTTTATTTTTTTTTATTTTTTTTATATGTCTCACTTGACAACACCAAATAATTGTCTCCCTCTCCACATTTTTTACTATCTCATACTCGACTCTTCACCGGCACTTCTCTGATAATCATATTCAAACTCCAACAACGCATAATCCTGACTAACATAAAACCAAAAACAAAAATCAAAAACACAAGAAAAATCCTAAGTAATATATACAGGGATACCTTTGGGACTTCCTCCCAAGTGAGCTTGTTTAAAGTCACTAAGCTTGACTTTTATGCTTTTTAGGCTCTGGGAGGCTCATAGAGAGGCATGGAGGACCCCTCTGGTGTCTCTTGATCAGCTAGGTAACGCTTGACACGTTGACCGTTAACAGTGAACGCGCTGCCATCCTTGTTCAGGATAGTGATCGCACCAAATGGCAAAACATCTTTGATTTCAAATGGTCCAGACCATCTAGACTTGAGCTTTCCAGGAAACAGTTTCAGTCTGGAATTGAACAGCAAGACGTGATCTCCAGCCTTAAGCTCCTTAACGACAATCTTCTTATCATGAAAAGCCTTGGTTCTCTCCTTATAGATTTTGGAACTCTCGAAGGCATCAAGTCTGATTTCCTCAAGTTCATGGATGTCAAGAACTCTCTTTGCCTGGGCTGCATCGATGTCCAAGTTCAGAAACTTGATAGCCCAAAGTGCCTTATACTCAATCTCCACAGGGAGATGACATGCTTTACCATACACCAGCTGAAAAGGTGTCCTTCCTATTGGTGTCTTGAAAGCTGTCCTATACGCCCATAGAGTGTCATCCAACTTGGTAGACCAATCTCTCTTCGAAGCCCCAACAACTCTTGACAAGATTCCTTTTATCTGCTTGTTGGAGACCTCAACTTGTCCACATGTCTGGGGATGGTAGGCTGTAGACACCTTATGCTTCACACCATACTTCTTCAACATGCTTTCAAAAACTTTGTTGATGAAGTGTGTACCACCATCACTGATCACTGCTCTTGGTACTCCATACCTGGAAAAGATGATGCTCTTGAACAGTTTCAGAACAACCTTGTGATCATTGGTGGGACTTGCAATGGCTTCAACCCATTTTGAGACATAATCAACTGCGACCAGAATGTAGACATTGCCGTTTGATGGAGGGTTGAACGGTCCCATGAAATCGATTCCCCAAACATTAAAAATTTCTACTTCCAGAATCGGGTTCTGAGGCATCTCATTCCTTCTGTTGATGTTACCCATCCTCTGGCAGGCGTCACACTTGGTGATGAAACTATTTGTATCCTTGAACAACGTTGGCCACCAAAGGCCTGCTTGCAGAACCTTTTGAACTGTTTTGAATGTAGCGAAGTGTCCTCCATATGCGGATCCATGACAGTGCTCAAGCACTCCCTGCACTTCTCCTTCTGCTATGCATCTCCTAAACAGCCCGTCTGAACCTCTCTTGTACAAGTAAGGTTCATCCCAGAAGTAGTGGTTGACATCTCTGAAAAACTTCTTTTTCCTATAAGGATCCATGTCTGCAGGAATCTCTCCACAGACTTTGTAGTTAACCACATCCGCATACCAGGGCATACTCTCTGAATTGACTGCTAGACATTGAAGCTCCTTCATAGCCATTCATGTTTGATGCATCTTCTTGCATATCTCAACAATCATAAGATGTTCTTCAGGCATAGAGTCATCAATAAGGATTGGATCTTCTATTCTCATTCTAGACAGGTGATCAGCAACGCCGTTCTCTATCCCCTTCTTATCAACAATCTCCATATCAAACTCCTGGAGTAGAAGTATCCATCTCAGCAGTCTCGGCTTGGTATCTTTCTTGAAGTATATATGCCTAAGCGCAGCATGGTCTGTGTAGACTACAACTTTTGATCCTACCAAGTAACTTCTGAATTTCTCAAACGCAAAGACTACAGCCAAGAGCTCTTTCTCTGTTGTTGCATACCTTCCATGTGTCTCATCAAGGGTTCTGCTCGCATAATAGATGACATGCAATTTCTTCTCTATGCGCTGTCCCAACACAGCCCCTACTGCATAATCTGAGGCATCACACATTATCTCGAAAGGATGATCCCAGTTTGGAGCTTGGACTATTGGTGCTGAGACTAACGCTTCCTTGATCTTGTTGAAAGCTTCCAGACAGCTCTCATCAACGGCAAACTCGACCTCATTGCACAACTGTCTTGTAAGGGGTCGTGCAATCTTTGAGAAGTCCTTGATGAATCTTCTGTAAAAACCAGCATGCCCAAGGAAACTCCTTATATCCTTGACTGACTTGGGAGGCTGCAACTGCACCATGACCTCAATCTTCGCCTTATCAACCTCAATCCCTTTCTCTGATACCTTGTGTCCCAACACTATCCCTTCGTTCACCATGAAGTGGCACTTCTCCCAGTTGAGCACTAGGCTTGTCTCCTCACATCTTGCTAATACCCTGCAGAGATTCAACAAACATGAGGAGAAGGAGGAGCCATACACGGAAAAATCATCCATGAACACCTCCACCATCTCCTCTATCAAATCCGAGAATATAGAGGTCATACACCTCTGAAATGTTGCAGGTGCATTACACAAACCAAAAGGAATGCGTCTGTAGGTAAATGTGCCATATGGACAAGTGAACGTAGTCTTTTCCTGATCATTTGGGTGGATAGGGATTTGGAAAAATCCGCTATACCCATCAAGGAAACAGTAGTAGGGATGATTGGCTAATCGCTCTAACATTTGATCAATGAAAGGAAGAGGAAAATGATCTTTCCTAGATGCAGCATTCAGTTTTCTGTAATCAATGCACATCCTATGGCCAGTGATAGTCCTAGTGGGGATCAATTCATCTTTTTCATTTTTTATCACTGTAATCCCTCCTTTCTTAGGTACGCAATGCACTGGGGATACCCAAGTACTATCAGAGATAGGATAGATAACCCCAGCATTCAACAGTTTAAGAATTTCTTTTTTCACAACTTCCTTAAGGTTAGGATTTAATCTCCTTTGAGGTTCAATACTAGAGTATGATTCATTTTCCAGATTAATCCTATGCATGCAGAGACTAGGTGAGATCCCCTTGATATCATCTAAGGAATAACCTATGGCCCTTCTATATTTTCTAAGCTCAGTAACTAGCAACTCTAATTCCTCATTACTCAAGGTAGCATTCACAATGACAGGATAAGTAGAGTTGGATCCAAGGAATACATATCTCAGTCCTGAGGGTAGCGGTTTGAGCTCATCCTTGGGAGCTTTTAACTCTGACCAGTCATCATCAGCCGCATTGACAGGGTCAACAGCATGGTGAGTCATCGGGCTGCCACTGACTTCCTCCTCTACTGTGCATACCTCCTTGACAGACTTATCCAATTCCTCAAAACGTTCTGAATCATCAGTTGCCTTGTAGGTATCCAGTAACGTTTCGTAGACCTTGGTCTCAGCATGAAGAAATCCATCTGATCCACTCTTTGTCAAGGCTGTCTTGAGATGATCCTCCTCAGCAAGTTCTTC